TCTGTCTGTGGATGACTATATATATATATATATATATATATATGTGTGTGTGTGTGTGTGTGTGTGTGTGTGTGTGTGTGTGTTGTGTCTAGTTATAAAATCATTCAGTCCATGCCACTTTGACGGATAAAACACTTTCAATAATTAAAATTCTTGGAATTGCCATATTAGTAAATTCAACCTTAGCATTGCGGCTACACGCTCGACAATAAATAATATTCATACAAGATGATGATAGAATGACCTGTCGAAAGTACTTGCAAAATTTTGGAACATATGGAACGAATGGTTAGTGGGTTAATAATTAACCTTAATAATTTATTCTTTTGTATGACCTAACCGTAATAATTTATTCTTTGTATGACTGATTCATGTTAATATATATATATATATATATATATATATATATATGTGTGTGTGTGTGTGTGTGTGTGTGTGTGTGTGTGTGTGTGTGTGTGTGTGTGTGTCCACAGAAAGACTGTTTCGCAGCTCTTCAGTGTGATGAAACACGACAGATTTTGCATTAGTCAGAACCAACTTCTGAGCCGTCGGAAAACGGCAAACAGAAATGGAAATTTTAGCTTTTTCTGTACGAAATACGCCAGCGGCTAAGAGAACTCAATTCGTACTTGAAGAGTAATGCATTCATAGCAGCAGCCATTGTATTTATTAAATTTAACCTTTTCTCTAGAGAGCTCTACTGAAGGGTCCCTGAGAGCATATATACAGTCATCCAATAGACTGTTTCGCCGTATCACAGCTCTTCAGTGCGGCTAGACTGAAGAGCTGTGCTTCAAACTGGGATTGGATGAGTTAGTGTTGGAGAAATAAAAATATGTCTTTGGAATGTGGTTTAGCTAGCTGGCCAAATAGATGGACAAAATAAAAGCCGGAAAGTCAGTGGTTTCTCTCCTCTACTTATCATTTTAAGGCCAGGGAGTTGAATAAGCCCTGCAATTTTAGCCAGAACTGAGGTGGTGAGGTAATTTACCAACAATATTTGTGCTAGAGCAAACGTGACAAACGCTGACAGTATTCGAACTTGACCTACCCGTTTTAATATACAAATCACTAACCGTTAAGTTATCCGCATATCTCATGCTTCCAATAAAGAAACTGTAAATTGGTATTGTAGGAATACGAATCATGCATAAACAAGCCATCCAATTTTGACGGTCACTGTATTATTACGAAACAGTAGTAGCGATGATGATAATAATAATAATAAGAAGAAGTAGTAGTGGTAGTAGTAGGAGGAGGAGGAGGAAGACAAGGAAGAGGAGGAGGAAAAGGGAGAAATACTATGAAAAAAGAGAATGATGATGCAACATTTTTAATAATCAATAGAAGCTGCAGGAAGTGAATGTTGATGTCAGCGATTGCAAGAATGAATTTGGATTGAAATTTCTCATTATTGTCAAAATTGATTCGCATAACATTCACCCCTCCCCCAAAATCTGGTGAAGAGCAAATCATTATACATTGCAAACAGTTTATTAAACAACATCCTAAGGTGACAAAAACAACTCTTATATATATATATATATATATATATATATATATATATATATATATATATATATATATATATATATATATATATATAGTTTGTTGGTGTGTGCGTTGTGTCACAGATACATGCAAGGAAGATGTAATTGCTGGGACGAATTCAAATTGCCGTTGATTGATTTTGGGTTTTACTTTCGCTAATGTCTTTTTTGAAAGGCATGAATCCTTCACCTTCAGTTATCGATTAATTCGATCCTTTAGCGTCATACGTCGAAAGAGAGTTTAATATATATATATATATATATATATATATATATATATATATATATATATATATATATATATATAAGATCAGTAAATCAAACACGTAGATATTAGCAAGGGTATACGCTCATCCTGGTGTGCATGTCCGGGCAAGCAAATGGATAATCCTCTTAATACATATATCGTGTGCCCGACAATCTGGAAATCTATTGAATATTTAGCCGCACACTCAAAACATAGGTACACATATATGTAAAATTTAACATACACACACATACACACACACACACACACACACACATATATATATATATATATATATATATATATATATATATATATGGTGCGATGGATAAATTTTTTTCTAAATTGCGTAAAAATGAAAATACCTATGACAGCTCATTTTAACAGATATATTTACCAATATTACACAGCAATATCCTAAAATATTAAAGAGTACATGTATTCCATTAAATTTCCATTGGCTTCAACCGCGGCATCAAACGCCTTTGGAATCTCCTGCACATCTTCTCGACGGTATCTTTGTTTAAGTCGGTGAATGCTTTGGTGTTAGAAGGAGTTTTCTTTTTTTTTGCTCTTTCGCTCATCGCCTCCCCACACATAATAAACAAGGACGTTGCATTCTGAGGAATTTAAGTGATGTGGTCGCAGAAATCGTTTGACAGCCATGACTGTGTTCCTCTGCTTGTATGACATGATACAGAGT